AAAACCTACTAGGACAAGCCACATATAGGTGAGATTTTTACTTTATTAGAAGTGTTTTCAAACATCTTGGTCTACTTTTACAAGAGAAAAGATTTGAAGAGTCACGATAATGTAGCTGGTTTTGCATAGCCTAATGTTAGGTAAGTCCAGTTTGTTTACCTGTCTCCGTTAAAGCGCAACACAAAACAGTTTACTGATTGTTTCATACATTCAACATACATCCATCCAAATGAGACTGGGAAGCTAACTAAAATATGCAGGGGAAACGTTTCAGTAAAGAATTACAAATAAGAGGAATCATTCGCAGTGCAAGCTGGCACGCATCAAACAACAGAACGCGCTGTGGTTACCTGATGGGGGAAGCTCAAACTTGGTGGTAGACTAGGCTATAACCATGTCTCAGCAGAAACAAATGCCTATAAGAACTGATTATGAAATGGTCTAACTTCACAATTCAGCACTACATAGTTCTCAGTCTTTCTGCTTGTTTTCAGCAGCTATATTCTAACATTGATCATGTGTTTAGAAACAAATCACAGATTTTTCTTTATCTGTACTTTAGCAGTATAGTATGTAACAAAAGGAATACAGTATTTTGACACAGCCCAGGTGTTGCGTGCTTTCTCTTTGCCATGCTGCCATAACCTGCTATGGTTAAACAACCAGGCAATAGTTGCTTTGTGGTTTGCATGTACTAGATTTTGTTTTTTCCTCCTGTTGACGTAATTACATCTAATATGATTCAGTGTTGTAAATCAATGGGTTGACCTACACTTTTTGTATGCTCCAGTGTGTGGATTTGTTTGCTCTATTACCCAGGGGCACATTTAGATAAAAGATTAAATAGCTTATTTTGGGACAGTACAGTAGACCCCTGCTTAACAGTGGAACACTGTGTTTAAAAAAAAAAAAAGAAGAGAAGGGAGAGAGAATTACACAAGAGATACGAGTCAGAGGGTCTCCTTTGCTGTTCATTTTGTGTTTCTGTCCCTCCCCTTGGACCTGTCTCCAAAATGGCCTCTGTTTTAGTGGAAGTGAATAGATATGGTTGAGCCTGTTGGTAATTTGAGCCCAGTATTCATGGCTAGAGGAACAAACAAGGAAGGGTCGGAGGTGGTGGGGGAGGAGGCGGTAAAGAAAGGCTGTCCTTCATATGGAATTTACCTTCCTAGTTCACCGTCTGGTTCATTTGGAAGAGGTCCAAATAGTGACTCGCTTTGTGAGTTGGGTAGAAGTGAGGTGGTTATTTTGGGGAGGCAATTGTTGTTGAACTATTTTGGTTCTTTTTACCATTGCTAACTCTAAGAGACGAGACAGTCCAAGTAACTTCAAAACAGTGCTGATTTATTCAAAGGATCACAGGTAAAATTAACATTACACGCTCAGGTATCTTGCACCTCCAAACTGCTCACAGGCAGATGTAAGATGAAAGACCCTGAGCCCACCAGGCCTATACATTATATCACCTCGGTTGGGCTAGCCCCATACTACACAGAAAACGTCAACCGAGACGTCTCTGTTACCAGCTTTGCAGCTGGCCCTAGCAGTAGTCAAAACATGAAGCAAATCAGTGTGTGAATGTGTATGTCTGTTGGTTAAGTGGTGTGTAGCTAAAAACATTCTCACGACCTCTAGTACATGTCGTGACTTAAACATAAGAACATATTATGGCTAAGGCTACAGTTATACACGTCGTAATAATAATATTAAACACCCTGTCTGCTGACAGTCATCAACTCTTCTCTCTAGTTATCCTTGACCAGATGTACCCTGTAGAAACTCATAAGCATGCCTAAGCATTTAACAGTCTAACTATACATCCTATCTCCACTAAACATTTCTAATACATAAAGTATCTATCCAATATCTATCTCACTGCAGGGATAATAAACAACCAGCAGTTTTTGAAAGGGCCCTAATGGGGGGACCATCTAATCCACTACTTGCCTTTATATCTAAATGTTACAAATTTGTGCCAACCCCTCATGCTGTTCTCTTCTTTGTGTTTTTAATGAGTCATTCTTAAAGAGGAACACTTCTTAAATAACCAGAATCTTTCCTACTGTAGCCAAACTCTGACATGCAGTATCTATATATCCTCATATGTATGTCTTTGTTCTTATTGAGGCCATGTCATCTGTAGCATGTTCTGCTTTTGTAACCAGAAGCTAGCTGACATTTCTCATTGCTACCTACCAGTGTGTATCCAGCTGGATGGGTCTGACATTCTCTGTTTGACAATGAGCAGGGCTGAATTGACCTTGACATTATTGGAAGTCGTTGCCTTGGTGCTGGAGAGCAAGGGCGGCAGTTGCTGTAGCCAGGGGACCACTACAGAAATGTCATGCACCTAGTTGCTGTTAATTCAGACAGCTTTCTACTAGTACAATAGCCAGTGTTTGAATAGCAGTGTTCTATTTTGTTATAGTTATGTTATGGTCTTTAATTGTGGTGAATCTGATCAGTTTCGTGTTTGTGACTTGCGTATAGTTGACCCGAGGATGACCTTGCTGTAAGTCTTCTCAGCATGTGAATGGAGTACATGGGGGCCTTTTCTTCTTTCTGCAGCCATCGCTGCTGCCTCTAGATCTGTGTGTGCCTGGGCAGCAGAGTGAGTGAGGCAGGGAGGGGTGGAGGAGTGTTGTGGTTGAATGTTTCAGCAGAGTATGGTCACATTACAAGAGGGCTGAGCCTCATGTTGGATGACTCACCCCTTCATGTGTCTGGGAATTACGCGCCTCCTGTTGGTTCTCTTTACTACTGCATCCTAATTGGAGGCTGAGAGTAAGCAGAGCTTTAATGTCTCTGGCTGTTTTCTCTGCTCTGTGAATACTCTCCCCTCTGTGCTGGAAGCCTCCATATGGATGAGACATCTATCACACCATGTTCGTATCGGGTTATCATAGTCAAATGAAAGCCCTCTCCTGCTCCCCACATAAAGGCCTTCATTGTCAACATGAGTCAGCAAATTTGATTCTTCACAAGCCATGTAAGGATAGTGTTCCTGTGTAGTGTTGGGGTTACAAGCCTCTGCCAGTGTTCAGCTGAGACAGCTGCAGTGACCTTAGCTAAAGGAGCCCTGTTTATATGTGACAAAGTGCTTCCATTTTTGAACAGGCCCTTATTTTCGGTTTGAGTAGAATTAATAGTTACTCGTCATTAAGTTTCTGAATAATAACTGATGGGTAATTTTAATTGAAAAATAATGTAGTATTTTCTTTTTAAATGGTTACTTAATAGAGACCAGACAAAACCATGAAGCTCTTAAGGGGATTTTCCATTGAAAGAACCTACCGAAACGTGTTGAGCCCAGTGACGCTTGTCACAGGTTCTGCATTTGTTTCTACTGCCATGCACCCCCTTTGGAGACAGGAGCAAAATTTTGGCACCCCTCAGCAGGTAGTTACTAAAATTAAGTTTCAGGAACCTGAGGGGGAGAGGGTGTGTGCAGTTACTAAAATTAAATTCCAGGAACCTGAGGGGGAGAGGGTGTGTGCAGGCAGAGCAGTCACCTGTGATTGGTTAAATGCCAGCATGTTAACACTTAAATCATTAACATTACAAACACAGCGTGGAAAGATGCAGTTATACTAGGACTGCACGCTAAATTGTTTTGTGAGCACGATTTAGATCCCTGTGCGCTCTGTCTGAAGTGACAATGATTCTGCCGTTTTATTGTGTAGCCCTAACTTATAGAGGTAAAGGAGGGCTCACTTGTTGGTTTAGAGGCAAACTGGGACTTGAGTGAGTGGACCATGGGAAAAGTGGTGAAGACGTCACATTTTTCAAGTTTGTGTTCTGCTTGTTCAGCAGCTGTTTAATAAACTGCTCATACTGTCTCCATTGCTGGCTGATACCTACTGATTGTTGCACCATGGAGTGATCCCTTTACATGGTCTGTTCTCCCTTTTGCTCAGCAGCCCCATCCTCCTCTAAACAGAGACTGACAGAGAGAAAATACAGTGAAAAAACAAAGCAGGACAGTCTACATCAACCCGTGAGAGGTTTTGCAGGGTGAAGTACAGGGTATACCGCTTATTAGGTTCCGATAGTTGGAAATGCAGCATTGATGGAAGCTGATAAAACAAATGCTTGCTCTTTTACAGCTGTACCTGTCCCTAGAATTACCTGGTATTGTTGAATTGGCTTGATGATGATGCTGTTCTGCTCCTTATACATTTGCATAACAGTTTTTGTAACAACAAACTATTACATATCATTTAGCCAATTAATATAGAAAGAAAGTAGGGTTAGATGGGCTAACAATGTAACCATAGATATTCAGGACAGCCTGCAGTGTTTTTACGGCAGACATTTTGACAGCAGGGACAGCATGGGTATAACTGATTACATTACTAACAATAATTATCCTGATTATCCTCAACAACTGCATTCCATTTACCATTGTGCATGTTGACTCCTGAATGGTTTACTGCTACAATGTTACTAGTTAAACCTGTGCTGTTAGTAGGAGTTAGGACGATTCTAAGGGCCCACGAACTTTGGGGGCCCAGAGTTTGTGGGTAGAGGGCCCAACTTCAAATTTTTTCATAGGGCCCAAAACTGCTAGCGGCGCCCCTGCTGATGAGTAATTCATTTGAATTAACTTGAGCGCAGCTCACACAACATAATGCACATTGTCCATCTTTATGAAGTATTTCTGTTCTTAACCTCTTTAATCTTCATACACTGCGACACAGGTTTTGTATTGTTTGTGTCTTTGATGCTGTATTGTCCTGTCTCATACCTGTAACAGTAGGTCGTGTTGAAAAGTAGGTCGCTTGTCTCAGAGTGACTTACCTGGTTAAGTAAAGGCTGAACATATCTTTATTAAGACTGTGCTTGTGTATCGAACTGATTGTCTGTTCCGCTCTGTCATCAGGTCCCCCATGACTGTGAGCCGTGGGCTACGGCTCAGCAACGCCCCACCTCCGGAGTGGTCTGTTGCTGTAGTTGGGACCCTGTGATTCCACCTCTCACTTCTCCTCCTCCCCCCTTCCCATTACTCAGATATGGCTGCTGGATCAGAGTGAGTACTCACTACCAGCTGGGTGGGACTCAAATAGTTGCTCTCTTCTTGTAGATAAACTTTGCTTATTTACAACTTGGATCTTATTTGGTACAAGGTACAAGATTTTCACAATATTGTAACAGTCTCAGAAAATATTATGGTATACAGTATTACACAGTTACTATTATAATTATCAGCTGCAGTGACCGTCAAAGGAATGAAAATAGAGGTCATTTTATTTATTTATTTATTTATTTATTTATTTATTGCAAGTTTACTGACGGTTGAACTGAAGAATAAACAGTATTATAAACATGATTCTTCTTTTTTTTTAAGTGTGTAACTATAACCTCGTATAATTAAAGCCCTAGTTTGCATTAGTAGAGGAAGTATCTGCAACATTGATTTAAGTAAAAGTACTCTGTTACAAGTAAATGTCCTGCACTGAAAATGTTAAGTATAATCACGAAAATGTTCCAAAAGTAAGAGAAGGCTACTCGGTGAAGAAAAGTGTTATACTATCCTATACTGTTATATCATTACATTAACAGCCCGTCTCTTATGCACTGATGTAAAAGCAGGACTTGACTGTTGTAGTTGGTCGAGGTGGAGCTCTGCTGGACTAGTTTGTATCCAAGTGCAACTGCTGATTATTCTCCTTAGGGATTAATCTGCAGATTTTTTTTTTTTCTATAAATAGATTGAATGGTTTGTAAAACTTCAGACAACAGTGACATGCCATCACAATGCACTAAACAATTTTCAGAATAGTTGCTAATGTACTGTAGGTGCACAGTAGAGCAGCCAGACTGATCCTGTCTGTACTTTCACTCACACACAGTGACTTCTGTCAGGCCCTGGCACTGAGAAAGTCTGTGCATGTTTCTTTATGGGGTCAGATTGTGATCACTGTAAGTTCTATTGTAAGCCAGAGAATTGGTGAACGAACAGACAATGCGGAAAACTGTTTTAAAAGTGCAATTTTTGACCAGTGTTTATATAACACGTACTAAAAAGGACATGTACTGTGCTGTGCACAGAGGATGGTGTTCTTGAAGATGTTTGTTTTGGACATATCCAACATAATCCTCCACTGCTGATTTTTTTTTTTTTTTTTTTGGATGGAGTTTGGCCTCTGCCATTTGTCTGCTTCATATGTGTGTGTGTGTGTGTGGCGGCCGTTGCAGACTCTGACAGGCACTCAGGGAAGAAAGGTTTTCTTCATACTGGTAATAAGCAAATGTGCATGGTATGATGACCATCAATTTTCATACCACGGTGAAACTGGCATACCTCTGCAACCCTAGATCGATCATTATAGCTTTATATACTGACTGATGCCTCTGTATGTGGTAACATCAAGTAGAATAAGTGTCACAGGTTGTAAACTTGATATTTAACCTGATCATCTACCTGAATAGCTGCTGTAATTCAGAACATGGATTCAAATAAATAAACACACCTGGCTGCAAACAGAGGTGAATGTTGTTAGAAATGCAAATGTCCCATAGTACTGACCAACACCTGACCTATGACTTACTGTACATTGTGCATGACTTACTGTACATTGTGCATGCTCAGTATTTAAATGTAATGGAAATGAAAGGACTGAACATTTCATGTTTGTCTGAATAAATATAAAATAATGTATCCGGATTCAGTAGTTATTCCCTTTAGAAAATATATTATTAGTGTTATTGTTGTGATAACAGGTTTCAGCCCATCACTACAATGTTAATACTTCAGTATTAAGAAAAAAAAGTCTCTGCTGAGATGTACAAAATCTCAGGATTTAAATGTAAAACTTTATTTTGATTCTTTTGATGTTTAATTTTGTTCCAGAATTAGAGGAACATGGGGAAAGCCAGGCTATACACTGTCTGGCCAGACCTTAGCTACAAGGCAAAAGGAGTTGTGTAACATAATGTCGGCCCACATTCCATTCCCTAAACTGCAGTCTCCCAGGCTGGAGAACACCTCCAAGGTCTTGGCACCATCTAGTGACAGATATCTGTAATAAAAACACAGTTTACATAATGGCTCAGGACAAGCATATTGGAAAATATCTACTGTTTTATACATGTAATTCTTGTCATATTTTTATTGCTTGAAATAATAATTTTTCAAAACTTTTCAGCCCTGAGTCAGTTGAAGCAAGCCCTGCTGTGAATGAGAAAAACTACAACCACCACAGCTGTGGGAACGCACAGAGTCATGGGTATCAGGGACTGCCATATGCTGTGAGTTCAAACCACTCTTTTCTAATCATTAGTTCTAATCATAGCATTTATTATTATTATAAGTTGGCTACAATTGTCACCATTTTACAAGCTAAAAGAAGCTAGTATAATCTATCCAGTGTTGTCTTTTTCTCATCTTTTCAAGTTTCTTGTTCTATTCAAATAGAACAGTAAGAGTAAAAGTAAGGATTCATGATGCTTCTAGTGGGATTAAATACATGAATGTCTATGCTACTATTAGCTTTCTGTAACCACAGTCTATTTCCATTATTAACAGCTGTACTGTTTCACATACTTGTTTTTTGCCCTCATTTTCATTCGTCTCCATTTTCCGTTTCCCTTTTTGCCTGAACACCCGTTGTTTGAAGATGCAACAGTCTTCCGTTGTGTGTTGTCAGGATCACAACTATGGCGCACCCCCTCCCCCCACCCCACCCGCCCCCCCGCTCTCCCCCCCCATCCTTCCTCCCATGCAGGCGTGGTACGCGGCTCTCGCTATCACGGAACTACTGAGGACAACTCAGCTGACAGCGACAGCTCCTCAGAGGAGGACGGGGCCATGGCCAACTGGTGTCACTGCAGCCTGATGCCGGATGGCCTGCTTATTAAATGTGACAACTGCAGGTTTGGATTCTGGAGCATTAGTACTTTGTTACTTGACTGCCCCAAGTTTACTGCAGGTTATTTAAAGTGTGAACATCCACGATAATTGTACAAAAATATGCTGAAGACACTGTTAACAGCAAACATTGATTAAAAAGATAATATCAGGATCATTCTAAAGACAACTGACAGTTTAGTGTTGTGTTGTATGTGTGTGCGTTTTTTTTTTTTTTTTTTTTGTATTTAAGGCCCGTAAAGGGGGGGGGCTTTAAAGTGCCCATGGCATGCTCATTTTGCTCAATACCAGCAATTTAATGTTTAATCTTGGGTACCTTTATATTAGCTTGGCACCCATCATAATTCCAAATAATCTGTAATTATTTCAGAACGAAGAAACCCAAGAGCCTCTTCCTGAAAACAAGAGGATAGTTCGTGAATGTGTACAGCTCCTGCTGCCAGTCAGGAAGCCAAGAGAGAGTATAAACAAAAAACTTTGACAAATAAGCAACATTTTCAACAATGACAGTATTTCAAATCCTACCTGACATGTTCGAGCCAGAATATGAAAGTGGACAGAACAACAAACCGCAACAGCATTATTTAATTTGAATTGCTCCTCCATAGATAGGTAAACAACAGTATATGTACTGATAAAGAGATGTGAAACACCAAACAAAGCGGGTAATTGAGAAATCCCATATTTTAACTGGCATAATGCAGACATAGTAACTTCTCCAGCCTTACATCAATTCTTTCTAATGTCACAGAAACAAGGCATTATCAGACATGCAACGTGTGGGTTTTTTTGTTTGACTTTTAACTTTCTGTTAAGCCCCACTGAGTAGTGCAAACATCACTCCCTTTCATGTAGCTCCAAGGTCGGTAAGTCCAACCAGTTGTCACTGTGTCTTCCCCCACACGACCACAAAGAGTCCCAAAGTAGTGAAATTAATTCGAACAGGTAGCGTAGCACCGACAGTAACATCATGGATCGTTAGACTCCTCTCGCCAACCTGCAACACATCACATTCAGCAGACACACTCGTCTCAAACAGTCAAAACAAACAGGTACTGTGCTCTAGGGGAATCCACCATTGCTGAGCTGATCATTCACTCCCCCAGGATGCTTCACTGACTGACTGCTTGTAGGTTAGGCCCGGTCGGGTAAAATAGCGAGCCCCTGTACAGGAAAAATTTCTGGACATGCAGTAACCTCAGGCCCTGTAATTTTCTCCACATCCTCTGATCACAGTGCAGCAGCAGGAGGTAAAATATATCCACAAAACTGCACACAGTCAAAAAATTCCACTTTTACAAAGGTGCCAGTGGATGTCAGACAAGCTCACATGAACGTGCAACTGCCTGGAGATAAGGATTTCCTTGAATGGTCATAAAGTTATCATGTAAGACTTGTTTGTTAGAAAAAACATCTTACAAGTGAGTTTGCAAGACTTGTATAAACTGAGTTTCTTTTCCATAGGAGTACTAGAACAAACGTACACCTCATTTTTTGAGATTTAGGTCACATCTAAGATGAAAACTCACCATTGTAACATTGTAGATAATACAGAAAACAAGGAAAATGCCATGGGCTCTTTAAGATCTAGTTATAGTGTTAAATTGAATTAATAGCTTTATTGGGCTACATGTATTTTAAGATATGTAAATGTGTCTTAACAGGGCATATAATCTACAAATCCAGTTTTTGGCAATCTACCTGAGGGAATTGATGTATCTTCATGTTTGGTTTGATTTTCATAAGCACTGGTCAAAAAAGAAAAAAAAAAGACCTGATTTTTCACCTGACTTATAGCTATTATGGTATTAAATATTGATTCATTTTGGTTGCAGGGGACTTGACAGGAGGAAAGGACCAGAAAGCCACCACAGGAAAACAGAAAATGTCTCAGGTACATGTATTTTCATGTTTTACTCATTCATTGTCATGAGCCCCTTTTCCACCACCTGGGACCGGCTTGACTCAGCTCGTCTTATTTGTGTAAAATGTTGGGGATAGTACCTGGTACTATTTTTGGTATCACCTAAAAATTGGTTCCAAGAGACCAGGGGCGATACCAAATGGTGACATGTAAACACTACAGACCTAGTGACTGGTCAGAGAAATCACATTATCGACTTGCGAGAACAAAGACAGCACCATTTTTAAAAGCATCTTTACTTAACAGTAACCACTACTTTAGTGTAGTGACTGTACTTACTAAAAGCAGCCACATACCAAGAATCAAGAACAGCATAACCTCAGTGTCCTCCATTGTTACTGCTTCGGATACCGTTGTCGCTATGACAGCTAGCTACACTGAGAGAGGATCATCTGCAGTGAAAAACCAAGCACCCTGTACCAAAAATGAGTAGAGTTGAGTCGAGTTGAGCCAGTACCAGGCAGTGGAAAAGGGACTTTACAGAGAAGTTTGTAACTGTGCTGTATAAAATGGTGTTCTTGTTCCTAAGATACAGTATCTGATGAGATTACCTGTGTTTTGGTAGCCGGAGAAAGCAGCGCCACAGAGAGTGGTGATGAAGAGGTGTCACCCTCCACCATCTCCTACACCGCCACCCAGCATACGCCCACCAGCATCAAACTCACTGTCAATCGAGTCAAAAGGAGTAAATCCAAAAAGAGGAAGAAGAGCACGGACAAGGCCCGTGGAACACCAAAGGCCAAGAAAGTCAAGGTGTGCAAACTGTTAGAAGCTGAATGATTTAGTATGAGTCTAGCAAAGCTCAACAGATATTTCAAGACCCAATATGGAGGTTCCACTTTTTATTACAAGCTTTCAGCACTGAGAACATTGCTATTTCATTTTAGACTGTATGGTAGTGGCAGCTTAATTGTGTGTATGTTTTTCCTCTTCAAGGCATTCAGAGAGGGTTCTAGGAAGTCCATGAGGATGAAGGTATGATTAGAGTTAACTTCTTATTTATGTAAACTTGTACATCAGTGCTATGAGGCTCATGCTACTCTCACAATCTGCTCCATCTTTTCTTCTGTCTAGAACTCAACAACGGAGGCCAGTGTGCTGGATGAGAACACTGCAGAGGGATGGGAAAGCAAGATCCGTCAGTGGACAGACCAGTACGAAGAGGCTCTGGCCAACCAGTACAGCGCTGATGTCCAGACTCTCTTGCAGCTTCACCGGGCTGCCTGTACCACAGTCTCAAAGAATGAGAACTGCACCAACACACCTCCCTCCACCACACAAGTCCACGCATCAGCTGACGCCATGGACACCATCAACCGCACTGAGCTGGCCTGTAACAACACAGTGCTAGGCTCACAGATGCAGGTCTGGTTAAGTCCTCATCCAAATTCTCATTTACACTTTGGACAAAACAATATACTGATTCAACATAAGTGGCTTCACAAAGTATCCAGACCCCTTCACATTTTGCACACTTACAGTATTGTTCAAAATAATAGCAGTACAATGTGACTAACCAGAATAATCTAGGTTTTTAGTATATTTTTTATTGCTACATGGCAAACAAGTTACCAGTAGGTGCAGTAGATTCTCAGAAAGCAAACAAGACCCAGCATTCATGATATGCACGCTCTTAAGGCTGTGCAATTGGGCAATTAGTTGAAAGGGGTGTGTTCAAAAAAATAGCAGTGTCTGCCGTTGACTGTACAAACACAAAACTATTTTGTACAAACGTTTTTGTTTCTAGGATTTAGCAATCCTGTGAATCACTAAACTAATATTTAGTTGTATGACCACAGTTTTTTATAACTGCTTCACATCTGTGTGGCATGGAGTCAACCAACTTGTGGCACCTTTCAGCTGTTATTACACTCCATGATTCTTTAACAACATTCCACAATTCATTTACATTTCTTGGTTTTGCTTCAGAAACAGCATTTTTGATATCACCCCACAAGTCCTCGATTGGATTAAGGTCCGGGGATTGGGCTGGCCACTCCATAACATTAATTTTGTTGGTTTGGAACCAAGACTTTGCTCATTTACTAGTGTGTTTGGGGTCATTGTCTTGTTGAAACAACCATTTCAAGGGCATGTCCTCTTCAGCATAAGGCAACATGACCTCTTCAAGTATTTTGACATATGCAAACTGATCCATGATCCCTGGTATGCGATAAATAGGCCCAACACCATAGTAGGAGAAACATGCCCATATCATGATGCTTGCACCACCATGCTTCACTGTCTTCACTGTGTACTGTGGCTTGAATTCAGAGTTTGAGGGTTGTCTCACAAACTGTCTGTGGCCCTTGGACCCAAAAAGAACAATTTTACTCTCATCAGTCCACAAAATGTTCCTCCATTTCTCTTTAGGCCAGTTGATGTGTTCTTTGGCAAATTGTAACCTCTTCTGCACGTGCCTTTTTTTTAACAGAGGGACTTTGCGGGGGATTCTTGAAAATAGATTAGCTTCACACAGACGTCTTCTAACTGTCACAGTACTTACAGGTAACTCCAGACTGTCTTTGATCATCCTGGAGCTGATCATTGGCTGGGCCTTTGCCATTCTGGTTATTCTTCGATCCATTTTGATGGTTGTCTTCCGTTTTCTTCCACGTCTCTCTGGTTTTGCTCTCCATTTTAAGGCATTGGAGATCATTTTAGCTGAACAGCCTATAATTTTTTGCACCTCTTTATAGGTTTTCCCCTCTCCAATCAACTTTTTAATCAAAGTACGCTGTTCTTCTGAACAATGTCTTGAACGACCCATTTTCCTCAGGCTTTCAAATGCATGTTCAACAAGTGCTGGCTTCATCCTTAAATAGGGGCCACCTGATTCACACCTGTTATTTCACAAAATTGATGACCTCACTGATTGAATGCCACACTGCTATTTTTTTGAACACACAAAAATATACTAAAAACCTGGATTATTCTGGTTAGTCACATTGTACTGCTATTATTTTGAACAATACTGTACCTGCTTTGCAGATTTTATGTGAAATGGATAAAATGTCAATTTTTGCTCAATCAACCCTGTGACCCACAATGATGAAGTAAAAATGCCCATTAATTTTTTTTAAAGTTTTTGCTAATTTATTAAAAATTTTAATCTCTCACTCATAAAGGTACTCTGACTCTCCGCTGTGGCATTCTAGACTGTGGCCAGGTGCATGTTCTCTTTAAATTTTGCTTGAGATATGTCTAGAACGTGACTGGAGTTATATATATATATATATGACATTTCAGTTATTTATTTTTAATAACTTTAAAAAAATGTCTAAAAACATTTTTTCACTTTATCTTTATGGGTTATTGAGTGTAAGATTGGTGGGCAAAAATAGCAATTTCATCCATTTCTAATTAAATGTACAATACAAAGCATTCAGCAAGTGAAGGGATCAGAATGCTTTCTGAAGTCACTGTACTGTATATATTTCAGCGCATGCACATGAAATAGTGCCATTACAAAAGATGCAATTTAAGCCTCATATAACACATTATAAAAACATTGTACCGACTATTTGAAAATTGTGGAGTTCAAGTGAGCTTTTCATGAACAGTTAGTCTAGTCCATAAAATAACTTAATATAGCCTAAATATATTTAGTTACAATTTACTAATCCTTGATATAATGTGATGGTTTTTTTTTATATTTTCCTGCCATTGCAAATAAACAATTTGCAATTTACTGTTTGCAGCTTCAGTTGGGACGGGTAACACGGGTGCAGAAACATAGGAAGATCCTCCGAGCAGCCAAGAACCTGGAACCAGACACGCTCATAATTGAATATCGGGGAAAGGTCATGCTCAAACAACAGTTTGAAGTCAATGGGCACTTCTTCAAAAAGTAAGAGGTCACAGTATATGGGTAATAGGTTACTATATGCATAACAATCTGTCTTAATTTAAATTTATTTATGTAGCACTTTGGTCAACTGGATGTTGTTTTTAAAGTACTTTACATGGGCAGAATAAGATCACAATAAAATAAATGGAATCAATGCAAGAATAAAACAGCACAATAACACAGACACACAGATGGCACACAGTCAGTAAATGAAAAGAAAAATATCAGGCCCTATTAAAAGCCAAGGCAAATATATATGTTTTAAGCAATGATTTAAAAGCAGTCAGGTCAGCAGCTGATCTAACATTGAGATGTAAAGTATTCCACAATTTAGGGGCGGCAATAGTAAAAGCACCCCAGCATTTATATATGGCCCTAGGAACCCCGTAAGAGAAATTGATCTGAGGTGATCTCGTAGGTTTGTGCCATTGCACCAATTCAATGAGGTAGGATGGTGCCAAACCATTAAGAGCCTTAAAAACAAAAATCAACAGCTTAAAATCTATTTTAAAATGGACTGGAAGCCAATGGAGAGAGGCCAGTACCAGGGTTATATGCTCAAATTTTCTAGTAATTGACAGAAGATGAGCAGCAGCATTTTGCACCATCTGAAGTCTTAATACAGCAGGTTTCATTTTGCCGGTCCGTTCTTGTTTCACCTGTGTTTTTGGACTACAAGCAATTCACGTTTTTGATGCAGTTGTGTTGCTGTTTTCCAGACCCTACCCTTTTGTGTTGTTTTACTCAAAATTTAATGATGTAGAGATGTGTGTGGATGCACGAACTTTTGGAAATGATGCCCGCTTCATCAGGAGGTCCTGCACACCCAATGCTGAGGTCAGATATGGAGCTTTTCTAGAAGGCAGTAATGAGGAAAATGTTTTTGTTTAAGTGAATATAGCATTTGTTGGGCTGCTTTCTTTTTAACAAACGTATATCTTTCGTTTGTTCACTTCCCCAGGTTCGCCATATGATTGCTGAGGGTATGATCCATCTCTGCATCTATGCGGTCAGTCAAATCACAAAAGATGCTGAGGTCACCATTGGATTTGACTATGAGTTCAATAGCTGGTCAGTAATCATCCTAACCCCTCAGCTTTGTCTTTCCACCCTCTTTGAACCAGCAACTATAAAGAATCCATACATAAATAAGTCAGATCCATCCATCTGTGCAACACTGATATCAAGTAAAAGTGGTAACGGTCCAAATCCTGTCTAGAAACATACAGTAGATATGAGTGCTACTAATGTTGGTACAGGTGTGATGCAGGTATTAGTTTTCTAATGGTTTACCTGAAAGCTGGCACATGCCCCAGTGTGATCTTCTCCTTTCTCATAATACACCACCAGTAATTACAAAGTGGACTGTGCCTGCCATAAGGGCAACCAGAACTGCCCAGTGCAGAAGCACAACCTGAGCCCCAGGGAGGGTCTACTGAGTCCCCCCTCCCTGCGGCCTCCCTCTCCTCTGGTTGGTGCTGAGACCCGACGGAGAAAAGCCCGGAGGAGAGAGCTGGAGGGCTGCCTTGCCAGTGACGGCAACCAGACCCTCGATCAGCACCAGGAGGCCAAAGATCTGCAGGGAACAAGTGATGCAGAGGTGTGTGTTTTGTGTCCATGTGTGTCTAGCTAAAATGAAGAATTAAGCACAGATATTAGGCTGATTTCTATTAAACTTTAAATAAAAATTTGGATTTGTAGGTTTTGGTTTTTTTTGGTTGGTTGTTTTTTTTTTTTTTACCAAATAGCCAGATACTGCTGGGTGTGACGTTGTTCTCATATGCAGTCTGTGTTTGTGTATTTAGGAGAGACTGCTGGATGAGGTGAAGGTGGAAGAGGGAGAGGTGGATGAGAATGGGGTCACTGTCTCCAGTAAAAGAGTATGTCATTCCTAGAAATGTGTTCTCTGTATGATCTGAAAAAACTTAGGAAAAAATCAACTGGACTAGATTTCTAGGTCTAGGTTTCACCGATACTGGACTATAACGACTCAGTCGTTAAGGAACATTGTTGGCCTTCAAAAGACTGAAACACCACTGAGGGAGATAAATATCTCCGGCTCAACACCAGTCAGTCAGGACTGATGAAGCCTCTTGGATAAGAGGTGAAACGTCTTCGACCTAGAAATCTAGTCCAGTTGATTTTTTCCTAAGGTTTTTCAGCTTACTATGACCTAGATGACTGAGAATCTGCACAGACATGTTTTCTGTGTGATGACTAAGTCAAGTTCAGTTGTTGGAAAGACAAAAGTTTTGTAGTTATTTTGTGGCCCTGCCTATGTAACCCAGCTTTTGTGCCACTCTGTTCACATAGGCTTTTAACAGCCTGGAAAAGAGGCGGAGGAGAGTGGGAGGAGCAGAGGTAAAAGAGGAGGGTGTGGAAACAGAGAATGGGGCAGGAAACCCCACAGGGAGCACCCCCTTACCCCACAGCAGTGGAGTGGGAGTCAGCACACGACGTACCACCTATGTGACGGTTAGTGAGAGAAAACAAGTAGTTTATTCTATATCTGGCAGTCTTTTGTTCTGTTTTTGGTGTTGCATCCATTTCATTTATTCTAAAGGAAGTGCCATCTACTGAGGAAAAGACCTCATTGCCCAGCCTGCCTGCCGCAGTTGCTCCCCCTAAACCTATACGACCAACAAAGCCTCGACCCAAAAGTCGGATCTCTCGCTACCGTTCAAGCTCATCGCAGCGGGCCCGGCGACAGCGTCAAGCCCTTGCACAGCAGGCAGCAGCTGCTGCGTCTGCAGCAGTGGCAGCAATACCATCTTCAGCCGAGCAGGGGACTGCTCTGGACGAGGAGGGGTCTCACGGCCTATGCAGTGCCGAACATGGCCATGGAGAGAGCAGTCTGGGGGGTCATCTCCCAGATGGAGATGGTCAGGTTCTAAACTGTATAAATAGAGGCAACTTGCGCTACCCCAAGACTAAGAAGGTTAGAGGTTTGACTATTGTATGGCTTAGTCAAGCTTTTTAATTATTTCAGTTTTTTTTTTTATAGTCTATGCAAATCCAATGTGAATCATTAATGTTTCCCTTTGGCCTCAGTACCTGGTGACAGAGTGGTTGAATGACAAGATCCCTGGAGGGGAGAAGGTCCACCAAGAGGTGTCTGTTGAGCGCCCGCTGCGGATAACCACTGACCCCACGGTGCTGGCCACCACACTCAACATGCTGCCGGGCCTCTCCCACTCATCGTTTATCTGCACCACGCCCAGACACTATGTACGCTTCGGTTCCCCCTTCAATCCAGAGAGACGCAGACCCCGCCCACTCCAAATGGATGGCACTTATGGCTGCTTCAAAAAGGTAAGTCATGCAGCTAATATTGGGATTCATTCCAGAATTGTATATACTGGTAGCAATACCTTGACTTCAGTACCAGTTCCTAAACAAGGCTTTTTTCGATACCAATGTTATAAAATAAATTTTAACAAAAATTAAATAATGCATACATTACACATTTTGAATCAGCTCGTTAGTTATATTTTTCGATTCCTTGGCATTTTTGTGCGCTCAACCAGCTTCATAACATACAGTTGAGGTCAGACATTTACATACACTCAGCTGACTTTGTCTTTAAACAGCTCGGAAAATTCCAGAAAATAATGTCAAGGCCTTAGAGGTTTCTGATAGACTAATTGACATCGCTGAGTCAATAGGAGGTGCACATGTGGATGTATTTTAAAGCCTACCTTCAAACTCAGTATATCTTTTTGACATTATGGGAAAATCAAAAGAAATCAACCAAGACCTCAGAAAAAAAACACGGACCTCCACCAGTCTGGTTCCTCCTTCCGAGCCATTTCTAGATGCCTGAAGGTACCATGTTCATCTGTACAAACAATACTGTATAAACATCATGGGACAACACAGCCATCATACCGCATGGGAAGGAGATGTGTCCTGTCTCCTAGAGATGAACATACTTTGTTCCAAATAGTACAAATCAATCCCACAGTATATCGCCAGTAAAACCAGTCTTATATTGACATAATCTGAAAGGCTGCTCAGCAGGGAAGAAGCTACTTCTCCAAGACAGCTATAAAAAAGGCAGCTTGCATCTGCACATAGGTACAAAATAGATGGCATCATGAGGAAGGAAGATTATGTGGTTTTACTGAAGCAACGTTTCAAGACATCAGCCAGGAAGTTAAAGCTTGGTCGCCAGTGGGTCTTCCAAACGAACAATGACCCCAAGTAGACTTCCAAAGTTGTGGTAAAATGGCTTAAGGACAACAAAGTCAAGGTACTGGAGTGGCCATCGCAAAGCCCTGACCTCAGTCCAATAGGACATTTGTTGGCAGAACTGACAAAACGTGTGCGAGCAAGGAGACCTCCAAACCTGACTTGGTTCCACCAGTTCTGTCAGGAGGGTGAATATTCCAGTTAATTACTGTAAAAAGCTTGTTGAAGGCATCCCAAAACATTTAACCCAGATTCAACTATTTAAAGGTAATGCTAAATAAATACTGAGTGTATGTAAGCTTCTGACCCACTGGGAATATGATGAAAGAAATAAAAGCTGAAATCAATCTCTTTTCTGCTATTACTCTGAGATTTCACATTCTTGAAATAAAGTAGTGATCCTAACTGACCTGAGACAGGGAATGTTTATAGGCCTTAATGTCAGGAGTTGTGGAAAACTGAGTTCAAATGTATTTGGATAAGTTGTATGGAAACCTCTGACTTAAACTTTAAAAAGTAAACCTGTTTACCACAGCCTTAAGTTCTGTTAACATTGACATCAATAAATAAAAATGTAGGAAAGCATTTTTTGTTACGCCACATCAGAATCAGAATGCACATTGAAATTAGATAAATAGGAATAAAAATAGAGACCTGTACGGATCTCCGTGTCCAGAGATCAGGTGATTTTAATCTATTCATAAAGGGCTTTTGAACCGAAAAAAACCGCTCTTAGTCTGACCCGTCACCCAGGACCTGTTTGCCTTGGGAGACCCTACCAGGGACATATAGCCCCCGACAACATAGCCCCTAGGATCACTCGGGTACTCAAACCCCTCCACCACCATAAGGTGGAGGTTCAAGGAGGGGTGCTGGAGGGGAGCTGGAGGAAGTGTCTGGAGAGAGGGAAGTCTGGGCATCTTTGCTTAGACTGCTGCCCCCGCGACCCGGTCCCAGATAAGCGGAGGAAAATGGATGGATGGATGGATGTCTAGGCTATCTGACAATTTGTTCCCAATGCAGCTTCATCTGTTTAAGAAAATGTCTTGAAAAAGTAGCTCTCTGCATTACAATCAAGAACATCACACTTGGTTAAAGAAAAATGTTGATACAATAATGTTGAAATGAAATTAAATACTTATACCACACTTCTGACCTTTTTAAAATTAAATGAGATTTTGGGATGTAAGAACAGACAGTATATTAAGGATGATTTATTTGGATTGTGCTATTCTGATTCCATTGGGGACTGGGATGAACACTAGGGGGCAGGCTTAAGCCTTTTTTTGTCCATAGTATATTTAGTCAACTACATTTCTCTCCTTTAGATTGTGTACATGCTTGCTACAGTGATGTATGCCTGGGACACTGAACTTGCATGCTTACTCATGTTTGTTTGGGTGTGGACATTTGTGTGGTGAGCCACCCACATTAATCTTGATCCAAAAATAACATCCACAGGACTATTTCACATTCTGACTGAGGCAAGTTGTGTGGAGTTATGGCAAAACAGATTGCATCCCCAAATTCCTCTCTCTCTCTTTTCCATCCTTTCTTTCTCTGCTCTCTATACATCCTGTCAAGTCTGTGTCTTTAGATTCACTAGTCTTTCTTTCTCGTATTTAACTCTGCCTCTGTGCTGGGGCACATTGTACAGTGGCTATATTCTTTTACTTCCTTTCCATCTTTTGCCCTAACCTATCTCCCTTTCTCCTGCTCCCTCATTTTGAGTCTCTTATTGCAAGGTGGCTGCTTTGCAATATCTGCCTCAATATGCATCATTCTTCACTGTGTAGTGTCAGCTCAGTCTTCCTGATCAAATTCTAGTAGCTGACTACTTTCATCCGACGTTTAGCTACCCTGCGTCTGTTTAGCCGCCTGCCTGTTTCCCCCCAAAGTGGAGGGGGTCTATGATGTCTTTCAGGTGGGCCAACACCAATCTCTCAAAGGTCTTCATAACTACAGATGTCAGGGTGACAGGTCTGTAGTCGTTCAGTCCACTGATAGGTCAAAGTGTTTATTTGTCATATGCACAGTTAGGAAACGTGTTTCCCTGTACAATGAAATTCTTACTTTGCCGTCCACATGAATGCCGCAAAATACAAATATAAAGTAGATAAGTAACACAAAATCTAAGGCACTTTAAGCAGCAAATGCAGCAATATAATAAAAATATATAAGAATATAATAAGAGAATGTATGCTGCATGGGAGCAGTATGTGCAGCAGTCAACAGTCAGTGTGCAATTATGCATGTGCAAAATGAGAATGTAAACAGTACATGTCGACAGTACATGACGTATTTCCTGGTAATAAACTCCTCAGCTGTTTCGTTCCCTCTGCCATCAGACTCCTAAAGAGTTTTTCAGTCTGGAGGTCCTACACTTCACACTTCTGAACTTCCGGCCAGAGGGTGGGGAGGCGAACGGTCTGTGCTGGGGGTGGGTGGAATCTTTGAGGATGGAGGCAGCCTTCCTACGCACCTTGCGGTGGTAATGATGGAGGTTTTCGTGGGAACTGGGATGATGGTGGAGTATTTGAAGTAGGAGGGGACCTCACACAGCTCCAGTGACCTGTTGAAGATAAATATGAAGGGGGCCAGCTGATCAGCGCACACTTTCAAGCAGGAGAGGGTCACACCATCTGGGCCTGGTGCTTTTCTGATCCTTTGTTTTTTAAAGAGTCCACGCACCTCCTTTAAAATGCTTACTCCAAAGTTTCAAAACTTTAAAGTCATCACATCTCACATTTCCTAAATATGCTGTTCTTTTTGGTGACAACAATGACTAGCCAGAAGAAAATCTACAGTTTTTTGTACATTCAAGTTATCATAAAATTAACTGTAGCTATCCATAAAGACAAATTTGAATGCATGAGACTTTTATTGCATTCTGTCACCCTAATGCAGACCTGCCAATGTGTACACATTTTACATGGCAGGTAAGCATCTTGATATCAGAAGGCACTGTTACAGTTAGTCACTTTAAGGCTGTGGTTACAAAATGGTGTAGTGTGAGGCAAGTCCAGGTGTGCCATCAAATTTTCTGTCAGCCATAAATGGATATTGCGGTTAAAGGCTCTATTCTATTATAAAGCCACGTCCGGTTCTTTCAAACCAGGAACTCGGTGAGACGAAGCGGACCACTTGAGTATATAAAAAAATATAACCGTGCTGGTTTATTCAAAGGGTCACAGGCAAGAACTAACATTACACGTCCAGGCATCTTCCACCCCCAAAGCTGCTCGCAGGCAGCCCGGAAGAAGAAAGACCCCGAACCTAATAGCCTATACAATTTAATCACTTTGTTGGGCTAGCCCCATCCTACGCAGGCAACGTCAATCCATGACATCACCTGATATGCCAGCTTGGCAGCTGACCAGAGCAGTAGTCAAAACATGAAGAAAATAATGTGTGTGAATGTTGATTATGTGGTGTGTATCTAAAAACATACAGGACATTCAGGGACATGTCCGAACAGTAAGCCTCGGAAAATGTTATGATTAAGATTACGGCTGAGCATATCAATAATAGCAATATTCATCCTGCCTGCAGACTCTTCAATCTAGTTGACCTTGAGGCCCACATGCAGCCTGCAGCAAGCTCATGACAATGAACTAAGCATTTAACAGCCTGAGCAAGACATCCTGGCTACACTACCATTTTCTAATACAACAGATCTCTAATCAATATCTATCTAACTAAGAAAATACCTAACACGGTATATAATGATACAAAGGTTTATGAAAACATTTTTCATTTAGCATATCACTGCTTTGTAGACCAGATATGCTCACTATTCAAAGGATAGCAGCAGCAGGGTGTGCCTCCTCACACACCCTCCTGCTTGTAACGCTAATGACTCAGGTTAGAAGATTGGACATTTTCCCCCCCCCCAATGGATGTTGTCTGATCATTTAAAAACAAAAATTACATATTTCAGGTTTTGTTTTTTACCACTCATGACTGTTGTTTTGATGCAGAGATGGATAAAACAGGTGGAGGATGAGAGCTGCTCAACCAGTGTGGAGGACGGAACAGAGTCCACCTCCTCCCAGCAAAGTACCAGCAGCAGATCCACCCCGAACCCCTTGTCTAGTGGTATGTACATACCTACCTCCATCTGAATGATTCATTTACTGCTGCATTTTCTGA